ATGCAAATATCACACATTAAACATGTTTCCGACAATCCTTTCAGCATCCGCACTGGGGGACCCATTATTTACCATTAGTAGCCTATTTAATACACCAGCCTGCCACAAGCTCTCTCCCTGCTGCCTTATTGTTATATTATTTCATTTGCTTTGTGTGTGTGTGTGAGTGTGAGTGTGTGTGTGTGTGTGTTTTGCAAAGCACATTAAACACTGGTTGCAAGCGCTATATGAAGTTAAAAGTTTTTTTTTTTGCCATTATTAGTAGTAATATGAGTAATAATAATTTTTTTTGCTATTATTATTAGTAGTAATATGAGTAATAATATTTTTTTGCTATTATTAGTAGTAATATGAGTAATAATATTTTTTTTTTGCTATTATTAGTCGTAATATGAGTAATAATAATATTATTTTTGCTATTATTAGTAGTAATTTTAATTTAAATTGTAACATGCAAGTAAAATTCCATGACATTGTTGGTCATGTGATCTCAACATGGTGGCACGCATGAGGGGGCGACCCCACTACATGTAGAATAATTGATTTTATTTCCATTACTTCGTGGTTGCAAGCGCTATATGAAGTTAAAAGTTTTTTTTTTTGCTATTATTATTAGTAATATGAGTAATAATAATATTGTTTTGCTATTATTATTAGTAGTAATATAAGTAATAATATTTTTTTGCTATTATTAGTAGTAATATGAGTAATAATATTTTTTTTTGCTATTATTAGTAGTAATATGAGTAATAATATATTTTTTTGCTATTATTAGTAGTAATATGAGTAATAATATATATTTTTTGCTATTATTAGTCGTAATATGAGTAATAATAATATTATTTTTGCTATTATTAGTAGTAATTTTAATTTAAATTGTAACATGCAAGTAAAATTCCATGACATTGTTGGTCATGTGATCTCAACATGGTGGCACGCATGAGGGGGCGACCCCACTACATGTAGAATAATTGATTTTATTTCCATTACTTCGAAAACTTTAAAAACAAAACATGAGTGTACACTTTGGATATGTTCTGCTATATGCCCGTGATTATAGAAGTCCAACAAAATCAGTCGTATATCAAACCGCATTTTTCTCTTTATTCACAACAGATGTGCACAGACTCAAAGCTGCGATGCAACTGTCGCGTGCAACAACAGCTCAAGTATACATCGATTCCGTCTCAATTGCTAATATGGCGCGTACAGGATTTAAAGAGGACGTATATTTACGCGCAAAACAAATAGTTTATAAAGGTCACACTCATGCGACAGTAGTGAGAGAATAACTACATTGAACACACACAACGTGACTTCCGCCCTCAATCCAATGCACATCATCCTTTCAGCATAGCTACAAACCACTGCGCTTTGCAATCGCTTAAAACATTCGAGAGCCACAATAATGTCGTAATGCATTTCTACGCGTTCTGTGTCGCAATAGCGTTTAAATGTGGAAATATATATGTGTGCTAACAGAGCATTTGGGTGTGTCTGGAAGCCTAATCCTCCATTTCATATGTATTTAACTCTGCATTCTTCACATGCACGGCTCACTTACTGAGTCCACAGGGCCACAGGTTTATTCTCACCTCTCTCGATGCAGTGACGGCGGTGTAATACAGTTTGATGCCCATAGCGGTGGATCGTAATGTCCCTTTGTGTTTCTGAAGGCGATCAGTTCCCGTTCTGTTGCTCTAAAGTCGCTGTTTCACCACCGACACCCAGTCACTCATTTAAAGAGACAGCGTCTTATTGCTGCATAAGGAAATACGCTGAAGATTAAATCGGCGGCCCTTTCTTTCCCTCATGAACATAGTTTAACAATAACTATCAATAACAATAGACTATAATTTTTTATTTATTTGGCAAAAAAATACATGTTATTTTTGTCTTTGTTGGATTCTCAAACTTTGTTGTATTAACGAATGTGGACAATTAAAGGGTTCACCCCAAAATGAAAATTAGGCTGCGTTTTACTCACCCCCGATGCATCCTAGGTGTATATGACTTTCTTCTTTCAGACGAATCCAGTCGGAGTTATATTAAAAATTGTCTTTGATC